ATCTCTTAGGAGTTGCATTAAAATTAGAAGCTGAAGCTGTAGCGATGGGACACTTTACCTGCTCTCCCAGCACGTACTACAAGACAGTCCGCACCAAGGACATTATGTGGCATCCATTCAATCCCACTCAGGAATGTGCTTTTGATAGACACAACCTACCCAATATCTGACAAAGTCATACAATCGGGGGACAACATCTTTTAACCACTTGTCAGTGTTTCGGAGCCTGAATTTGGACCCAGAGCTGGAGAGCAGAAAGCCTCCTTCCCTTATCGTGCTAATCCATTAAAATCACACACTCACAGAAACCCTCTGTGGAGAAACTATCACTGAACTATTAATAAAATCTTCCTGAACTATTAATACAGTCTGTGAGAGCTTTAATCCACTGCGGAGACTGATTATGTAAGTTCACAGGCACAAAGATGCTGTTTTTATCTTCAGTTTAAATGACCTTTTGGTTTAAACAGTATTGTTTATGATTGAAATCTTCCTGAATCTAAGGTAATTTTTTTTCTTTCAAAGGGGATTATATTTTGATTTGCAGTAAACTGGCAAATATGGTTGAGATTAAAGTGCATTTGGATGGAAAGATACATGTTTGCTTTTCTGATTGCAAAGGGTAGAAGTTATGAAAGTATTTTAATAACATTTGTGTCACAAAATTCAGACATCCTGAAACCTAGAAATATGCTGTAATTTAGTTTTTGAGCTCAGGTCATTGGTCTATGAAGTCAGTTCAAGAAGATCAAAAAGATTGGCCTCAAGCATCAGGTTGGATTTATTCCTAATTTTGGCTTCAACAATATCTTTGCTTTTATGCCACACTTTGGTGTGAGGAGATGCTGGAAGATCATCTGATTTTTAGCTTTCAGGAAGTTCAGAACAACAAAACAGTAAAAGGTTTCTGATGCATACCCATGCCAAAAGACATAGATGTCATGAAGTCAAGAACAGGCAGAAATGTGAAAAATTGTCTCCCATTCACCTCGTAGCTATCACTCCCGAGCCATTTAGTGGAACATCATGTACTGAGGGTTTTCAGTCCCTGACTCATTTCAGTTCAGAAATTTGCCTGCACAGGAGGCCTGAGCAAAGAAAGGAAACAATGATCTCCAGAACATTTTCCTCTGATCTGCAAGCTTAGAGGCACTTTTCCAATCTGAAATGAAAGATGTAGTGAGGCCTGTGTGGATTTTGGGATGTCCGTGGCAGCTCCACTGTGACACTCAAGTGTTCATTTCTTTCTTTTCTTTGAGGATGATGGAGGGGGCCAAAACTGAAAATAGAAAAGAAAAAATATATATAAAGTTAAAAAAGACAACTTTTTTAAGGCACCACTTTCTTTTAATCAACAGTGACAACTAAACCCCTGTGTTTGGACAATTTTGTCTCTCTAAATTTCCCTTTGTAGTGTGGGAAAGGTACCACTGCAGCATAGTTAGATATAATCCCTGGTTTAGTTCACTTCAGGTCCCAGTGAAGAAAACCTGGTCTGACTCTGGAGTGAGCTAGATGCCTGAGCAGGTATCTGGAGTGTCTTATTTTTCCCTGCTATTGCTGAGTAGCAACTTAACTAGATTAGCACTGGGTTGGATGTATTTACTTACGCTGCAATTTCATCTCTGAGCAACATGCTACTAGGTCCAGCCTGGTTTTCAGGTTAAATGACAGTAGTGCCCACAAATAATCACACTAATTCCTGCACGTTATATTTTGTTTAGGCCATTTGAACAAAATGTAAATATATCCTCAGCATTGGGCATTTTTAACAAGGAATCAGGTGAAGAAAAGGCGCCATAATCCCAGGGTCTTTTCCACAGTAGGCTCCAAAAAATGTACCTCATTATAAAATACACCTTCCCAAGGAATCGCAAGACATGAGAAATCAAAAGAGAATTCCTAAAAGCAAAAGCTCTCCAGCAGAAAATCAATTTCAGCTACTTTCACCTTGCCCCAGGGAAAGCAGCAGAGACACTAAGTGGGGTGTGGGAAAGGTCTCATACATCTTCCTGGAACTGTGCAAGGCAGACCTCCAGACGGGAGCTTTTCTTTCCAAGACAGCTCTGCTCTAATTAGGGACTTCTGCAAAATTGGCATGTTGCGGTTCCAAACAGTGTCTGGATGATTCCCATATCAAATTTCTTTGGTTTAAAAAAAAAAATTATGTTTTTGTCCTTGTTCTAATTGACAGCCTTAAAAAGGCAGGTGGACTGAGGGATGAAGGTCAAATTGAGCCTATTGTGCTTAATAAGGTAAGCAACAAAAATTAGCAGAAAGTTACACACAAAAAAATGTTATTTGGGTGTTGTTTTTTTCCTGGCCATCATGTTATTTTTTTCAAGGTTCTTTGTGCATTTTTGGGTGTACTTTCAGAATGAAAAGAAAGCACTTGCCTTTGAATAGAACTGTTATATGAGGGGCTTTCCTGTAACACTTAATACACTCATGTACCAGACAGAATCTAGTTCATGGTCTCAACAGTCTGTGTTGGGTGGATGTAAAATTCATTTTCTATAAAGCGAAGTACATCCTTTTCCTTAGTTGATCTTTTCCAGGGGCAGTCTGCCAGTTTAAACCTCTGGCTGGTTCCTATAATTCTTAGCATTCAGACCTTTCTGGGTAATATGGTATCATTAAGGCTGGCCAACACCCTCTACAAGAACCACTTTCCCCCTTGGAAATGAAGTCTGACTGACATTTCTCACTGAAGTTTGTGATTAATATCATCTGTGCATTCTAGTGAGAAGGCAAAACAATTTTTCTTTTTTGGGTCTGTTCAAATCTCTGTGTCTTAAAGCTATTACCCTACCTCCCATCTCTCATTGCTTTACTGTCCTTTGCTTCAAACTCAGACTGTATCTTCCACACCGAGCTATGTTGTTATGGTACAACCTGGGATGGCTGTGACAGCTTAGACCCAAAGAATAAAGGAGTCCAGAACTTTTGAGGTAGAGATACAGCTTGTGGGATGGCAGCTGGCTTGAAAAATATAGAATTAAAAAAGTGAAAAAAAATGCAAACATGGAACATTCCAATATGTCTTAATATTTATTTTTATTTTTAGAATATCCTGGAAAAAGTTTCAAATCTTCAAATTTTTATTCCCATGTGGGAGGAACGGAACTGAATATGTGAATTTTGCATGAGATGGGCATTTTTTGGTCTGGTCTGGTCTGGCCTGGTCTAAAACCCAATTTTAGGTAGGGTAGGAAATCCCTTTGGGTTTCATTTCAGACTTCTGTTTGTCCGTGTTTTTCTTAGGTGGGCTCAGATTGTCTGCAGCAGTTTCTCAGCACAGCCTCATTGAAATCAGTGCAACCTGCAGCACTGAAATATGACAGAGCCGTGACCCTAAATTCTAATGAATATTCCCACAGCAGTGTAATACAGTCATCTTTATATTGAATGTACACTTCCAACAGAGCATGTGCCATCCCTAAAAAGCTCAGCTCATGGTTTTCTGGGATTTAAAATGGGATCACCTATTAGGTGACGCTGCTTGGCCTCCTGCGTGCTGGCCTGACTACCCACTAGTCTTGCACAGAGCATCCAATATTGACATTTGCAATGATTTCGGGTAAACTGATGTGTCTGAGGTGTAAGTGCCATATACTACTGTGTAGCAAAAGTGAAAGGTATCACTTAGTGCCTGTGGCTGCTCACAAACATTACCCAAGCATGCCTTAAGATGACTGCCAGGACAACCCATGGCCAGTACTGAAGAGTACAGAGAGTCCTGCCAATCTGCCCTGAGCAGTAGGAGGTGGTGGGATGCCTACATAGTGCTAAATCTGGGAAACAATTAGACCTTGAAGCCACACAGAAGCTTTCTGAGCAGGTGTAAAAGGGGATTTTCCATATCATCTCACAATCCACCCCTTATCCTCACCAGCTGTGCACAACCTCTGATGCTCTGGAGGAAGGTGAGAGAAAGCCCCAGGATACCCCGTGCTAATTGTGGGGGGAAGGAACCTGCCTGATTCCAGAAACCAAAGCCCTGAAGGAAGAGACCTGATTATGCTCTGTCTTTATATGCTGAGCTGTGGGGGTTAGGAGCACAGGCAGGATGAGGACGGCTTCATCAGGATCTCCCTTCATGGGGGAGAGACAGGCACCTCTCCTTTCGCTGGAGTACACAGAAGCAGCGGTCATCCCGCTCTTTATGCAATGCAAAAAAATCTACCCCTAGGCTCTTCCCTGACGGACATTTGTTAGATGAGATTGTAGGTACAAAATACCCATCACAATATACAACAGCCTTTAAAGGCACGCCAGCAACCTCCTCCTTTATTAAGCGTGCCAGGCGGGCTGAGCGGAGTAGGAAACACCTCCCCGTCGGGATGCTACCTGCATGCTAATGCCGAGGGGGTTTGTGCACAGCGGCGCGGGGCTCCGGCAGTTTCCATGGTGCCGTCATGGTGCGCTCTCCCTACACCTTCACTTATCAGCATTTCCCACCCATCCTCCTCCCCATAATACGCTGCTCGCTCACCCCGAAAGGTCAGCCATTGTAATGATGATTTTAGCAGGGGGGAGGCGAGGAGGCTGAAGGGTGAAAAGGTGAGTTGTGCGCAGCCGTGTGCGTGGGAACCGGGGGCTTCCCTTAAGCCGCACAATGAGAAATTAGAAATCTGCCCCTTGAGGGAGCGGGGCTCATCAGCCACCCCCCCTCTCATTTCCCACCCCAGCCAAGTCAGATGCCCTGACGGAGTTAAAAATTGTTCAGGCGCGGTAGCTGAGAGCCTGCTTTAAATCATCTGCCATTGGTGCGTTAGTGCGTGGTGGGGAGAAGGGGCTGCGCCTGCTGACACAAGAAACTGATGCAAACGTTTCCAGGCGTCTTTCTTTTCCCATCTCCTTCCCGCCTCCCTCCCAGCAAGCCCAGTGCTCGTGTGCAGATGGAAAGAGGCAGACTTCTTCCTCTGACTTTCATCCTATTGACTGCTGGACTAAAGCACTGCACCTATTAACGGCCTTCCTTTTCTTTCTTTCTGTAGGACAGCTTTCCTGCCCGTTTTGGAGGAGTCCATTTTGTCAACCAGCCCTGGTACATCCATGCCCTGTACACGCTAATCAAACCGTTCCTCAAAGACAAGACAAGGAAGAGGGTAATTAGAAGGGGCGGGGGAGGGGGAGGGAATAGGAAGCTGCAGAGCCGGAGTAGCTGAATAGCTGCCTGCTTTCTTTTCTTCCTTCTTTTTCTCCCTGCATTTTTCATATGGCCTCAGACAATTGCTGTTATTATAAAAAGTTAGAGTTTGCAACGGGCTGGATTGAATCAGTAACTCAGACAGGGACCAGAGAGCTGTTACCTCTAACAGGGTGCAGATACATTTTAATGGGACATGCTCAGGCATAGAGAGAACTGGCAACGTGGAGGGATTATGAGGCCTGGCTGAAGTCACCCTCAGTGAGGGAAACTTCAGCTCAACTCTTTTGGTAGGATTAAAATTTCGTATTTCATTTCTTTTGCAAGTGGACTGTTTTCACGTGGTGGTAACACACTCGTTCCCACAAGCAACGCCCATGCCTGAAGGCTGTTTGCTCACACTGCAGAAGACACAGGTCTTCCCCACTGAAACTCTCGTGTTCCTGTGTTCCTGCAGTCATCTTGGCCCTTTGTCCTCTGCAGTCTATCAAACAACCACTGGATCACCTCTCAGGAGGCCCCAGAACCCACCCTGGTGGTGTGTGACCAGGCAGGATAAGGGCAGCACCATCCTGAGAGCAAAGAGGGATTAGAGAGACAAATGTCGCTGAAGCCGTGCAAAGTGGCGACACAGGCCAGTACACCCCTGGGGAAACGTGGGTCCCTGGTGCGGGGCTGGGCTGTCCTCTCAGGCGCTGAGGACTTAGCCTTCACATCTTCTGTCTGCTAAGCTCCACTCCCTTTTCTTCTCACTGCTCTTCGTACAAGCCTCTATCCTCTTATAATGGCAATAATCAGTGATTATTCCTGGCTTCCACTTTCCCTGATCTGGTACTTATGAAAGTGAAAGTGTCATGTGCCAAAAGCAAGCAAATCAGGATTTTCAGAAGTGTTTACAGTGCCAGCCTAATTCTTCAGCTGCACACTCCAAAGCTAATCCTCCTGCCTGCCCAAACCGGGGCTGAGTGCTTCAGAAATTCCCACCTGAAACTGCAGCGTTGACGAATGATGCTCCACACTTCATTAGCGTTGTTATTGTTGAACTTAATGAAGTAAGGAATTGATGACTTTGAACTTTCTTTTTATTTGTTAAAGATTTTTCTTCATGGAAACAACCTGAACAGCCTTCACCAGCTAATACACCCTGAATGCCTGCCCTCTGAATTCGGGGGGACTCTTCCTCCGTACGACATGGGGACGTGGGCTCGAACGTTACTTGGTCCTGACTACAGCGATGAAAACGAGTACACCCACACCTCCTACAACGCCATGCACGTCAAGCACGCCTCCTCCAACCTGGAGCGGGAGGCCTCGCCCAAACCCATGAAAAGGTTAGTACTGCCTTTGAAATCATCTCTTATTTGGCTGTCTGAAAAGGTTTGGTATAAATCTAGCAGGAAGAGCTCGTCTGGCTCAGAGAGAGGCTGTAATTTGGCAAGCACTGACAGTAAGGAGCACTTCACCCTGGACTGTGCTCACGGTGTGGCGGGAGAAAGGAAGCCTCTCTGTGGAACCGTAATTACTCATCTGATTACTGTGAAGGAAAACAAGGGGAAATTAATGAGCCCCTGCACAGAGCATTACAGAAAGGGTATCAGAGTGAGGTGCTCATGGCGCAGAGCGGCCAGTGGCACCGCTTCGGTGCTGGTTCCTATTACTTGCTGCTGCTGTGGTGCTGCTGACCCCCGTTGTTAACGGTAAGGGGTTTATCTCCTCGGAAGTGGAGCTTTTGTACGATGAACACCACTGCCCTCTAAAGGGAAAATAGGTTGGTCTCCTCCTGCTGCTTCCACTCCTGCTTTCTGCATCCAGCCCTGCTAAGGCGATGGAGCTGCTCTTTTAAGATCTCTGATTTTAGATCTACTGGTTATGCATTCTACTCTGAATGCTTAAAATGAACACCTCTCTAGTTTTGCTAGGGCTAGGGTGAGGAGGTTTAGACACCTGATGAGGGTCTGAGGGTGGTAGGGCAGAGCCAATGCCATCCGCAGTGAGCGATGGCAGGGTTGGCCTCCCTGCAGGAGTGCAACATCTGCACTTACCTCACCCTCCGTGACACTGTTTTCCATGTAGATTGCAGCCATGCTTTCACTCACTGCTGCCACTTGATGAGTGCGGTGCTCGCAGCCCTGGCATCACTCTGTGTGACAGGGACCGGCCATCATTTTGTCACAGCAAAATCAAAACTGACAACACAGACAAGCCATAATGTCATACAATTAATTTTAGAAGCCTTTCATCTTCAGAGGAAAAAGAAATGCATTCTTGATTCACAGCTCCCTCCCAGGTCAGAGGGGTACCAAGCTACTACAGCTGCAAAGTGAAGCCTCGTGCTGAAAACACTCATGCTTGTAAGTGACGTTAAGTGCTGTGAGTCCCACGACTCACAGGGCCATGAGAATGTGGGACTACATCCCTTTGCAGGGTGACCGCCATGGGCTGAAGAGAGCTGGTCATCTGCATGGTCAGCAGTTCTCACTACTGACTTCCAGCTGAGACTGGGACCCAGGATGAGTTCACAGAGCTTGTCCCAGAGAGCTGATTTTAAAACAACTATTCTTTTTATTTCTTTTTTAAAATACTAGCAGTGGAACACACTAAATTACTTTAGAAAGATACTAGCTAAACATTCTATTATTATTAAAATATATAGGTACTGAGAGTGTGAAATTTATGCAGCTTTTATATAAAGAGATCTGCAGTTTTTAAAGCTCTGAAGTATTAAGAGCTCATCACACGTAAATCTTTGCTGAGGATTGGGTCCTCCATTGCAAAGAAGGGAGGGCCTTATCATGCCCTCAGGGGAGAACCTCAGCTTGAAAATTAGTTCAGTGCCAGAAAACCCTGCCTCGAGGCAAAACCTTCTTCTATAATCTGTTCACTAATACAAAAGTACATTAATACAAATATGGCGAGTAGATGAATCTAATTTGTCATGTTGCCTCTGGGCAGACTAGATCTAACTTTTAGCCTAATTTCGTTACTTGGCGGTTAAGTGAGCCATCTGATCTTGTATCCCGTGGTCATTACTAGCTGTTAGAGGTGAAAAGTTTACTGCTTCGACAGATTTCCTCCTATGAATATTTGCTTTGATTCTTCTTCCCCTGGAATTATGGTTTGGCCTAACTTGAGGTGAAAGCCTATGCTTAGGAAGCATAATTGTGTGCTCTATTAGATTTATTAGACCAGATTCATATCTAAGGCTTATTAAAAGGTCTACAGACTTCTACCAGCATTATCTGTCTTTATATATCCCCCTGCTCCTTGCCTCTTTAGGTTCATACATCTCTCACACAACAAGAGTCTCAGTCCATGGCTGAGATTCCTGGATACTCCAGGGAAGTTTACACTAGGCGTAGGTTATCCCCTAGCATTAGCCTTCATCTTAAATTCCCTCCTCACAATTTCCCTACCATTTTTTCCCATATTAAAGCAATTTTGCAGTTTCATTAAAAACCTCTCCTCTCTTCCTCCATTCACAATCTTAAAAAAATGTAAATTCTTGAGTAAACATGGTACTTTTGTAAGTGTTTCTATGCTGAAGTGTTGGGTTTAACAAAAAAAGGTGGCTGACCTTTTCTTTAACACTTAAGGCTAAGTATATAAAGACTGAGTCATCTTTGGTTTCTGTAATTCAAGGATGAAAAGCGTTGCTGAACAAGTATGGGTCTTTTTCTCTCTGACTTCCCAGATATTACTGCAGGTTTACCTGCCCAGTAATTAGCTGCAGGGGAGGGCAGTGCTTATGAGAGGTGGATTTACCCCAGAGGTTGGTGGGATGGTGGTTTTCCATCCCTCCTCAGCCCAGGGCACCATCCTGCTGCATGACAAGGTGCAGGGTTGCAGGTTACCCCTCCTGGCTCTGTGGCCACTCGCTGTAAAGCCATACAAACACATCCTCAATAGAGCTGCCACTGGGCCAGTGCTGTGTTAAACCTTCCTGAATTTTGGATCTCAGTGCTGCTAGAATAGCTTGGAGTCTTACACTGTACCCACAGAGAAATGTGGTCCCTGTGAGATGTAGTTCCACCATCCTGCACCTAGAGAGAATCCCTGGGCTCAACCTACTCCAAATACAGTGTCTAGCAATTTTAGGAGCAGAGATAGTGAGAAATCAAGATAGGAATTGCAGATCTGAAAATGGAATCAGAGAATAACTGATCCAAATACTTCTGTAGCCACTTACTCTGGATTACAAAATGAATGTAGAGGCAAGAAAGTAGGCATTTTCAAGATGTGACTGAAATCAAACTGAAGTCATCACCTGAAAATTAAAGTAAAAGTCTCAAGATGCAGACCAGGAGAAAACGTGTCACCAAGCAGCAGTGCAGGGGAGTGAAACTGGAGCAGGTACATTCCCCTGCATTGGCTTCAGGACTGACAGCAGTGCTCTGGCTCCCATCACCAGGACAGATGAATATAAATTGAAACAAGTTCACCTGAGAGTTGCAAGGAGGGTGAGGAGAGCATATTTTTCCAGCAAGAAGCTCTAGGAGAGTGGTTTGTTCAGCCTCACAGAGCAAAGGTTGAAACGGATGTCATTGTTCTCTACAAATATAGGAGTAAAAACTGGGGAGAGAGAACAGGTATTTGAGAAAAGGGACAATTTAGGCATGGGATCAAATATGTATAAGGTGACTAAGGTATACCTTGGCTGCAAATTAGAGGATGTTTGCAAGCCATCAGAGGAGTGAATTAGTGAAACAGCTTGTCAATATAACAACCCAACTGACACTTGTGTGGAGGGTGTCACATGAGGGGGCTACCAGTGGTCACAGGAGACTAGACTTGCCACTCAAAATCTCATTAGGTTCCAATTTTTGCTCCCCTTAACAGCAATGGGACCAGAATTTATCATCTCCCCAGCCACCAGCAGGGGTGTTTTTTCCCTACGTATATGAATTACACAAGATTTGTTCACTAAAAAGAGTCCTTGTTTACTTCAGAGAATGAAGGCGTTGTAGATGGAAAAAGGATTGAAAAATCATCTTAGGAAAAACCTGCCACTGACTCTAGTTTGCAACATGATCTTGAAAATCTTGAGATTTGAGATTTCTATAATACAGAAAATCTTTAATCAAAACCAGTGCAATTATCATTTTTCCACCAGTGGCCACACGAAACCCCACTGGGGCAAAATCAAAACAGTAGAAAATGCACTCCCATCTGCAGTATTATCTCACACCCTGGAAAAACCCCAGAACTCAAGTACTGTATGAGCAGATGGGAAACAGCTGATGACTCCACATAATGAGCCTTAATGGCCAGGGGGGAAATAAATAAATAAATAAAGCAACAATAACAAAATCCATTCAGAACATACCTATTTATTAAGATGTGAAAATTTGGCCTGAAAATTCGGAGCACAGGGAAGAAAATCACCTCCCTGTCAGCGATGGCCAAACCGGGCCTTGGGTTGCTTAGGTCAACAGGGAGCTAGCACAAAAGCAAAGCACTCGCCTCAGGCACTCTGCTGGCTTTTGTTGATGAGCTGCTGTTTTGGGGAACAGCTGGAGGTTTTATCTGGGTGTGCAGTGTAATAAATAGTTAGGGTGGATAGTTAAGCCTAGCAGTTAAGAGTCAGAGACTGCTCTCAGCGTATCACTGTGCCAATAGGGCACAGCCTTTTGGCCAGCCACAGTGGGTGCCTGCAGTTATTTGGGCACCTAACCCCACCGAGCAACCATGTCCGGCTGGAGAGATGGATTCAGTGACTGAGGAAGATGTGAAGGAGCTCAGTTCTTTGTAGAGGTTCATTTTTCCCTAGTGCCACCCCGCTCTTACACTCGGGTCCAGCAGCAGCAGGTAAGCTGCAGTAGCACGTTGCCTTCCTGTGACTTGCTTTTCTTTACAAGATCTGCCCTTCGGTGGCTGCATCTGGGTCAGTTCTTGATGTCTGAACTCGATCTTCAGTCCAGGTGACAAAGACTGTTCTCTGTCTTTGTTCTCACCAAGCACAACCTGGGAGCTGACTGCTCCTTCTCTGCCCTCCCAGGCATCAAAAGAGGGCTCGCTTTTAACCTGCTGCCAGTGCAAACAGCTCTGGAAACCTATTGCAATTTAAAATTGCCCTGCAGAGAAAGGAAATTTTACCTAACAGCTTCATATATATTCTGGCCAAACCACCTGTGCTGTTTAATCAAGTTTATATAATCCAAGTTTAATTAAGGATAAATTTAATCAAATTTGGTGTTACAAATTATTCTTGGGATAACATGGATTGCAAGAGCATTACTGTCACCAAGTCAAGCTCATTAGAGTCAGGAAATTCTAGGGTAAAACTTTTAAAGTAGAAGTTTTAAAGTAGAGCCAAGCACGCTGATTGTGAAAA